ATGTCTTTCAGATACCTCGGAGGACAGAAAATACTGAGGTAATGGATGTAGTTCAAAAAAAATGAAGGGAAAAACATCTCTTCTATGACAAACTATGAGATTAAATTTAGATGTTGCCTTGGGGATAGGGGAGGAAGAAACTCCCAAAATAACTCTTCCTAAAAATACATTAAAATACATGTCTTTAGGGACCAGCATTTGGCTATGCCACTGGACTCCCATGTAGTCGACAACAGTTTGTGAGTCCCAGACTCGGTGGTTTAAACTCATGCCAGGCGCATGTGCATGTGAGCCCAAGATCCTGAGGGGAGAATGGAGGAGGATTGTGGCATGGCCATCCCCCTGGGCAGTGATTTCTCGCTTTCTGTCTTTTTGTCTCTGTCTTTCTGGTGAGCGCATGCACCCTATGGCAAAAACCTCTCCAATAAAAAACATCTCTTTAAAAAATTAAAACTTAATGTTATATATTATTATGTGATTTATTCAACTAAGAGAACATTCCTTGATTTCCCCCCCACAAGAGAGAAGAAAAACAAAAAAGATATAAGAAGTTAGGAATGAGGAATTACATGTATTTTAAATTCATATTAATGCCAAAAGCATTAGGAAAGAAAATAATACACCTGTCATTATTAGCATTAGTAAAAATCCTTGCTTTCTAATCCAAAAGGAGTATTTTCCTTCACATGAAAATGATGTGATAAATCACCCTATTTCAGGTGCTGCTCATCAAGTATTAAGTGTTGAGGTGTAAGAAATAGTAGAAACATGAGGAATGAGCAGTTTAATGTCCAGTTAGGATGCCCCTGGACAAAGATTATTTCAAGGCAGGAATCACTAAGAAAAATAAGTTATAACATATCTACCTATTTAGATTAGGTTGCTGGAAAAGTCATGATGCATTTTTGCATGGAAAAACAGAAAAATACACTATAACTTTTCCAGTGACCCAACATTATGTTAGTTCAATAATTTCCCTTTTTTCTTCTTTTTTTTCCCTTTAAGGGTGTGTGTTCACCAGAGAAAGAGGAAGCACATCTCCTCACCTCTGCAGTGGGAAGGTAGTCAAGCTGCATTCCTCTTTCTTCTATTTTTCCTCTTCAACAGGAATTTGGGTGCACACCCATGTGCCTGGTGTGTGTTTCTCAAGGCTGTGGGACCAGATTTGACCATGGTTGGCCGTGTGGAATCGAGCTTCTCTAGCATAAGGTGTAACCACTGCACTATGGGGCTGGCCTTAAATAACTTTCTATTAAAGGCCTATTTCTTTCCTTCTTTGTTTAACTACCAAACTATGTATTTCCTTACAATAAGAATAAACTCCTATTTTGAAAAGAAGAGTTAAGAAACAATAGTGTAATCTACTGATGAATATGTTGGTAAATTATTTAATATGACCCCCCCACACACTCGGAAATTTGGGAAACTCTGTCCTTAAATAATTGTTTTGGGGGCATACTGAAGAGTAGGAGATCTGAGAACCTCTGTCCTGGTAAATGAATGTGGAAAGTTTTATTCTGTCTGGAAGCAGACCAACAGAGCCCTAAATAGAAGCGGCTTAAGGGCTCAAACGCCTCCATGATTAGGTCTCTGCTGCATCTGAATGCACATGACAAACTCCTGGAATTGCTGAAGGTCTGCCGCTTTCCACCCTCCTCAGTGGAATGAGAGCCAACTTGTAGTTGAAAAATGGAGATCGGAGCCTCCGAGCACCTACCAGCTGCATGGCCATGAGCACTATTTCATTTTTCTTAGTGATTGGAAGCTCAAATGAGTTAATGCAAGTTAATGCTCATGTTGTGTAAAGTACAGAGCAGCTAGCTTTATCAAAGGTAAAACTTCTACAAACATTAACCAGTTAGCCAAGCTGTCCCTGCCAGTGGAGCCAGTTCAGAGTAAATTTGCAATCTTGATGATCAGCTGAGGTCATGAGTAATATCACTACACTCTGCTCAGATTCAGGTGCGCTGTGCAGATTCTTCAGAGGAAACGTTGATAAATACTTTCCCTTCCAAGTTCTTCAGACTGAGAATAAGGACTCTTGTGCTAATCACAGCCCCTGGCATTAGGTGATCTGAATTCACTCAGCAGTGAAGTAGATAGAAATGAAGTATCTTGCCATACTATTTCGAAAGCATGAGACAAGCTGCTGCAGGACTGTACAGAATCTGCAGGCACAAACGGTTAGAAACAGCAGCTGGAAGTTAACTCTAATCACAATTTAACCCCAATTAGTAATGGTCACTGTCGTAATCCTATGCATAGCGCTCTTTGCCAAAGTTGTCAAGGGTATCATGCGCTCTAGATGACAGTGATGCTTATGGTCAATGATGATAAAATCGGTGTTGGGCGGCCTGACAAATTCAAGCTTCATTCATTCACCACTTCACTCATTTATTTATAGAGCAGGCACTGTTATCGTCATTGGCAATAAAAAAGATGACAGAACATGGCTACTTCTAGGAACTCATTGTTAGTTGAAAAACAAAAATGTAAAAAGTAGATGAAATACCATAATCCCTGCTAAGAGAAGAAAGCATGGGTATCATGTAATATTTTAAAGTTTTATGGAAGCCATGTTATCTATTGTTCCACATGCAGACATGATGTGATGTCTTTCCCACGGAATCAAAGAAATGAATTTTTGAAATGAATATATTCTTATATTGTATTTATCTAATATGTCACTGGGAGAAAAATAAGGAGAAAAGAAAAGAAAGTAGCAAAATTAAAACTAATGTCACACACCTAGACAATTTCTTCAAAGTGTTTGTATTGGCTACTGAAATACATAAAATCTATAACACATGTACACCCAGTGAAGACTTTAAGCCTGTTTTATATCAATTTCAATATGTTTTTCACACACAAGAGGTAATCACTGCTAAAGTGATTCATTTCTCACAGAAAAAAAGACATTCTGTGCTGTTGAATTACCATGATAAGAATGCTTTCTGGAAAGAAGTCATTGAATTCTGAGCCTATGCTAATGCAAGAGAGAATCTAAACCACTATTTCTTACTACTGAAACATCAAAATAATATGTTTCTCTATATAATTGCCTGCTGGCTTCAGTTGATCTCTACTTAAGAATAGCACTATCTGTGGAAAAGGACCTTGGCTTCATAGGATGAAAAGGAGTCCATAAGTATCTCTATGTTCATTTGTCCAAATTCAAATGGGAATCCTTCTTAAATCGTCAAGAATATGAGAAGGTTTTGCTAGTACTGCAAACTGTGCATCACCCAGAAGACAGACACATCAACACTGAATGCTACACATCCCCAGAAATGTGGATGCATACTAGGTGTCAAGTTTTTGTTTTTGTTTTGTTTTGTTTTTAAATTTTGCCAAAGAGCATGTACACTTCTCAAAGATGGGGGCAGGAGGATGGAAGAGAAAGAAAGAAAGAAAAAAAAAAAAACCTTCATGGAGAATGGTTATCTGCAATCCCTTCTCCTCTATCTCTCCCTCCTTTCTGGATTTTGGGCACACATGGACATGCCTGGCTTATTTTTCAAGTTGTTGGGTCTGCTACTCAAACTGTATGGTCAGTTATGTGGAACCCAGCCATCTTCATTGTATTAAGTTATTTTTAAAAATCACATTATATTCCATAAATATGTAAAATCATTATGTCAGTTAAAAATAAACATTCATTAATTTTTAGAAGAAAATAATAAATAATATGAATTTAACTATGTCTAAGGAAAAAAATCTTGGTGGCCCTTCTAAAGATGCCAGGTGTTTGTTTGTTTGTTTTTTTAAATTTAGAAATGCAAGTTAGATAATATATAGGCACTTTGTAAATCCTGTTGAGTAAATGCATGACTTTGTGAGAAATGAACCTTAGTTTCCTAACCTTACCCTTGGGGAGAAGCTCATTTTACTTGACATATGTACAAACTCGTCTGAAGGGACTTTTTTAGACAGACCTATTTCTATCCCACTCCATCTTCATCTCTTTTACATCAAAAGTAGAATACAGGGTGTGGTAGCTGTTTCTTCTGTGCCATTTTAGGGTGGAGGGGGTGTATGTGATGAAGCCAAAACTTCAGTAGTTTTTTCTTGTCTTTTGTTTTTCTGTCCTTGTACCAGAGTATGAGATAGCTTCTAGGAGCTCTGCTGCAAACTGGGAAGACCCCGGTTGTAATCACGTGGTGACAGCACTCAGAATCCACATTGGACTTCTGTTGTATCCTCACTACACAATTAAGTTTTTAGCTGTTCAATGGATACCTTTTAGAGTCTTCCATTTTATGTGGAATTAGATTCTTCCCGTCAAATAGTACATTAACATCACTTAAAATAAAACCTGAATGAAATATTGAAACCTCAAAAAAAAAAATATATATATATATACATGTATACATACATATTCACAACAGAACTCAGGAATATTAAAGGTACATATTATTCTTATAAACAAATAAACAAAAATTAAAAATGAAACCAGGTTGTCATGGCCTGAATAATTATGCCTCCCTGACAAATGTATATGTTGAAGCGCTAACCTCCAATGTGGCTATATTTATAGATGGGGCTACTAAGGAAATATTAAGGTTACATGAGGTTATGATGGGGATCTGAGCTAACAGGGTTCGTAACTTTCAAAGAAGACATTAGGGAGCTCACTCACTCTCCCCATGCACAAGTACATGGAAAAGTCACGTGAGCACACAGTGAGAAAGCAGTTGTTTGCAATCCAAGTGGAGAGACCTCACCAAACAGCAATCCTGCCCGCACATTGACTTTGGGATTCTAGCCGCCGAAAAAATAAGAAAATAAATTTATTTTGTCTAAGCCACCCAGTTTGTGGTATTTTGTTATATTAATAGCAGCCCAAGGAGGGGTAACTAGACATTGAGTAAGAGTCCCAAATTAGCCTATGACTTGAACGAAGTGAGTAGAGAAGAACAAAGGAGTCTAAATGAGGAACCTTGAAGCTAGAGCAAGATGGCTCCTGAGGCAGCAGTGGAGGCATTTCTTGGAGACCACAGCTAAGGGGCAAGTGTCAATCTGGCAACATTTCTGATGTCCAATGGCACCCACTCCATGACAATACTATAAGTATCTGAAACATTTTCTCCAGGTCCTTTTGGCTTAGAAATTTTTAAAATACCGGTGACAAACTCAGCAGCACTGTGGAGTGAAAAGACAATAATGCTCCGGCAACGACAGCTCAGCCTGGACTCTTGAGAAGGACCTGTAGGCACTAGTAGGACGTGTTTGAAATGTTCATGGAAAATGTATATTATTCAAAAGCCACACAGGATTTCAAAATATCCTTGTACCAAAATAAACTCATACTGTAGCTCCATTTTCCATGACAGTTTTGAAGTCCCCTTTATTATACAGTTTAAGCCTGTATTAACATTGTTCAAGCTCAGTTGTTTCTCTCTTTTCAATTTTTTTAAAATTATGTTGTTAACTTTATATATTTATTTATTTGACCACATAGGTACAGAGTGTGTGTGCGTGAGAGAGAGAGAGAGAGAGGGAGAGAGAGAGGGAGAGAGAGAGGGAAGGCAAGAAAGCAAGCCATCAGGTCTGGGAGTTGAACCGTGGTAAGCCATGTGGGACTCCAGCACACTTAACCACCATGCCACCTGCTGGCCCTCTTTTAAAATTTTAAGTAACATTCTTTTTCTTTCAGTTTTTAGAATTGGCCACAAAGTAACCCTGGTTCTCAGCTCTAACAAAAATCTGTTCTTTACACCAGCTCATTCCATACTTGTTGCCTGCTATCAACTTAGACTTCAACTCTATATGGAAACACTTGTTTTCATTGCTTCTTTCTTCTTCCCTCCCTTCTTTTTCTTTTAATCAACTAATATTTTTAGTACTTAAAATTATCACATTTATGAGTAATGTCAATTTTTCATAACTTCTAATTTGAAAGTGCTCACATCTTACAAATAAACTACAAAAGTGAAAAATAGTGGGTTTTGTCTTATATGGAATTGTCTCTATATATCTGCACTAAGTGGTATGGCCACCACTGTAGTTCTTAAAAAGTATTGACATGATAGTAAAGAGAATACCAGAACACAGTATTGCCAACACGGCAATATTTCACCATATTTATTTTCAATTCTTAATCAACACTAATATGAAAGTTACATGCTTTCATAAAATGGGAGCCCTTACAATGCAGGTGACATACTTGTTGTGGCCATATCATATACATTGGTTTATGCTCAGATTGGAAGTCTGATTCACAGATCTGAATAGTGCTTGGAACTTGTTTTTGTTTTGTTATTTTTTTTTTGGCTCCATTGTTTAACCCAAATAGTGGTATGAAAAATATTTAAATAAATCTCTAAGTCAAATATACATACACGCCGCATATCTTTCTGATTATAAATAAAATAGATCGAGAACTGAATTTTACTCACAATCTTCTACAAAAAACCTTTTAATCAAAGATACATGGTAGAAATGCAGCGAGCAACATGGAAATCAAAGGATGTAGGCTCTAGTTCCAGTTATGCTACTAGTTGGCTAAGTGAACTTGAAAAAGCCACTTCATTTGCTGGGTCTCAATTTTCTCATCTTTATACCCTACAGACTGAAATAGGTGATCTACAACATCAGTCTTTGATCTAAAATATTTTTTCTATTTGAAATGAAATCCTAACCTCAGTGTCATCATCATCTCCTGAAATCCTTCCTGAGATGAATTGGATTCGTCATCTTATGCTTCCTTTGTACCTGACCATAACCCTCTGATAATATTTCTCTGACTCTGTTTTGATCTCTCAGTAGACTAGGCTCCTGGAGAGTAGGCACTGGGCCTTTTGTCTCCATGACCCCATAGTTATATACTAGGGACCTGATGGATGTTTATTGAATATGCAGTCAGCTAGCCAATACTTTCTGGGTCACACTTTAACAAACTGTTTCATCCAAAGATAGACAGAAAATGGCAAATAAAATTCTCACTCATCCTATTTAGATAGTCAATCTGGAGGAAAATATGTTCTTGCTTTCTAGAAAGTGAAGGAAATATTCAGAAATAATTCAAAATCTGAGCCATGCTTAATGTAGCTGTAAGTGCTAATGTAACCTTTATTTTAAGTTTCAAGGAAATGGAAATGGAATTCTCTTGACAGTCTCATGGATAAATATACCACCAATTTTAAAATAGTTTATTCTCACACGCTTATAAAACATATCTGTAGGCTTTAGAATCTTTTATGGGGAAAAAAGGTTACAATAAAATTGTCACTAGATGTAAATATCTAAGAACTTTTTAGAATACAGATTTCTAATCAGCCTATATACATGGTACTTGTACAATACCCAAGATCACCCTCAGGTTAGACGATTTCCAATGAGAACTCACATGGGTATTTCCGATGGACTCATGGGTATGACTTACTGAACTATAAGAACACAAACCAAACTTATCAAAAGGGAAAAAGCACATGGGCAAAATCGGAGGCAATCCAGGCACAAGGTTCCAAGCTTCCTCTCCTTAATTCTACCTCCAGCAATAGTTGAGACAATATATATGAAATGCTTTTTACTAGGCAAGTCATTGAGCCTCTGGGCTCAGGGATTTTTACTGGGTATAATCACATAGGCATCCTCTGTCTGGCACATACCAAAAGTCCACACTCTGGAAGGAATGTAGGTGTTCAGCATAAATTTTTACCGGTTAGAGTGGTGGGAACCCTCTTGAAATCCAGGTTCCCAAGGGCCAGCTTTAGAAGCAAGTTTTTCAAAGGACAACAGTCATGCCTGCTACTCTTTACACAAAGGGTCAACACGATTGGCTAGCAGGGAGGCAGAATCATTTGGAATACAATTATTTCAAAAGTCTAATGAGAACCCTTTAAAATGGAAGGATCTCCTCTGTTGGGCGTGCTGCTACTGTTTTTGATCATATCTGAGGGCTGGTCCTCAATTTATTAAATACTGTTTTGTCATTCCAGGAAATAGTATCTTGGGTTTGTTAACTAAATAAATTCACAAATAAAGTCAGCACATAAGTCAACTTTCCTTTGCTACTCTTCCACCCCTTTTCTGAGTATGTTTAAACTTACTGGGGACCACATTTTTTTTTTTGCTACAGGGAGTGTGTGCTCGCCAGACAGACAGAGAGAGACATAGAGACAGAAAGCGAGAAATCACCCCCCCACGGGGGATGGTCACGCCGCAATCCCTTCTCCTCCATTCTCCTCTCGGGATCTTGGGCACGCATGCACGGCGTGAGCTTTAAGCCACCGGGTCCAGGACATGAACCACAATCGACTACGTGGGAGTCCAGCGACATAGCCATTACGCCAACTGCTGTTTCCCTTGTATCCTCATTTAAAAAAATATAGAAAGCCATCCTTTTACTCAACCCAGTTTAGTTTCTGACTCTCATACGTGGGATCTTAATCTCCAGGAGTTTCGTAATGCCCATGGTCCTCTTCTCAGCAAGTTGTTTTAAATTGTCAAAATAAAACACATACAAATGCAATGAAAACAAATCATATCAAAACTCAGTTATCAAAGTCTTAAAAAATGTATAAAATAGCCAAGTCTTTACAAACACAATCACATATCTAGCAGAAGGGATAATAACTATAATAACCTTTAAATAGTGATGACAATAAACACTTAGAATATCTTCAACACACACAATGTAGTAGAGAAATATCTATATATTTTGGAATTTGTAATAACACTGTAGTTGACTACCAACTTTCATAACTGAACTAAAAACTAAATTTTAGTTAGAAATTGAACATAAAAAAGATACAATAATTTTCTCATCAAAATTTACAGACCTTAGATAAAAATTTCAGGTGTTTAAGACCATGAGATTGGGGGTTAATCAAATTATTCTATTTAATTTACAAACTGTTGCACTATTAGAAGGTAGACTTCCTTTGTATGACCACAAACTTAAAAAATAAATCAAATTCATTACCAAAATAATAGGAGTTTGTATACAAATTCATACTCCTGACTTCTCTGGGGGAAATACATACGTATGTACATACATATCAAGCAACTTGAGGCTGGCATCCCAGCTGAATGATTGGCACCTGGCCCTTTTACAATGGTGTGAACACTCCAGTCCTCACAGCAACAATAAGCCTTGCCCCACTCCATATGCTATTTACTTGGCTCCTGTAGCCACCTCTTATCTAGGACAATTTCCATTTTATGATGACCCTCTGGCTGGGTGGCAAGCAATAGAGATTTCCTTTCTACTAAAGAGAGAATCCTTTGCACTTATTTATACTTATTTCTATGCCCCATCTCAGTTCCAGTCTTCTATTTTCAGCACTTGATATATTTAAGGCCCACATGCAACCACTTGTTTTGTAAATACAGTTTTATTAAAACACAAGCATGCTCATTTATTTCCATATTATCTATAACTGCTACCATGGATTGAGTTTTGGTCCTCTAAAATTTATGTATTGAAGTTCTCAACTCTACTCCACTGTGGTGGTCTTTGAAGATGGGACCTTTAGGAAATACTTAGTCTGGTCAGAATGGGATCGGTGAACTTGCTTTCTCTCGCTTTACCACATGAAGTCTCTGTGAGCAAGTAGTCATCTACGAGCCAGGAAGTGAGTCCTCACCAGGGAACTGAACTGGCAGGTAAACTGATCTTAGACTCCCCAGCCTTCAGAACTGTGAGGAATAAATTCCTGTTGTCTAAGCCACCCAGTCTATGGTATTTTGCCATGGCAGCCCCAGTTGAGTAAGACAGTTGCTTTCACACTACAATGGCAAAGCTGAGCAGTTGAGATTGTCCTACACATCATAAAACATGTACTGTCTGGTCCTAGACAGAAAGTTACCCAACCCTTGCTCTAATAGTTGGATGTTCTAGCTACAGCTCTAGAATTTTTATGTAAATGAGTTTAAGAATGGATGGTAGAAACCACATTTGCAGACCTAGCATCTTGTTTTCCTTAACAGAGATGGATACAAGCAGCTAAAGAACAGACATATTCCTCCCCACGGCAGCTACTGAAAACTGCACACTATACCAAACTCTCCATTGAGAGCCCCCACAGATGCTTCTGTGGCCAGATCTGTGATCTACTATGGCCGAAAATTTGGATTTGAAATATGCCCCCACCCTTTGCCAGGAGTAGGCCCTTAATTAATGGCTACTAGAGATACAAGTTATCAGTAACATACTAAGGGCATAGTTTCGATGACACAGTTCACACGAAATATCCATCACAATAACATTTACAATAATAGCAAGAAGATAAAATATTTTTCTTAACAGATCAATTGGGAATAAGTGAATGACTAAATGAGAAAATATAAATTGTTGGCTATGTCTATGGAATATTGTTACGGAAAAAAATCCTAGTTAATTTGACAAGCTAAAGCAACATAGTATTATCTTAAAAATTCAGGTTTTAGAATCAGAGATGGGTTCAAATGTAGACCCTGACCTATAAGTTATTTAGAAATTAGATGTTTCCTTCTCAGAACCTCAACCTCCTCATGGGTGAAACGAATGACACTGACAATACTCCCTTTTCTCATACAAAGGGAGGAAGCCATTATGTGTAACTTGGCAGAGATAGTCACACCATTCCAGGGTCACATTTTCTGCTTCTAGCCTCCCTTACTCTCACAGGAAGCCACAATGATATGTGTACTCCGCTTTTACAATCAATGATATCTGTGTGTGTGTGTGTGTGTGTGTGTGTGTGTGTGTGTGTGTTTGGTGCATATATTCAGATGTGTGAAAGAAAAAAAGAGGAGATGTAGTATTGTGATTCTTTGCGAAGAACCAAAATTAATTTTCTGCTAGTGATCTATTTCAATTGTCCCTTTTGAGACCTTGAACTGCAAATATATCAGTTAGTTAATGGACATTAATCCCTTTGGGCCTGATTTTCTTCATGTGATTTAAAGGAGAAATAACTGCCCCTTTTTTTTGTAGGATATTACAAACATCAAATGAGATATGGTATAGGTATAAGCAATCTGCTTTGAGGAGGATACTGACAAATCAGTATGTCCATGTAATGACAATTAATAGAGGTTTTGGTAATCTTGCAGTGTGGGGGGATTTTTAAACTGGCAAATTTTAGATTGGAGAAGACTTCATAAGAATATAAGATTTCTTTGAAAGAACTAAAGGCGTGGTGTTAAGGGTACTGGACTCCCACCTGGCCAACTGCAATTCGAGTCCCAGACCAGGTGGCTTGCTTTCTCACTTTTTCTATCTCTCTCTGTCTGTCCCTCTCCGGTCAAATTAAACTAAGCAAGTAAATAAATAAAGTTAAATAAAATAATTCTTAAAAAAAAGAATTCAAGATTTCAAATGTCTAACAGGCTGCAATGTAGGACAGAAGATAAAGTACATGACTGATAGGTTCATGCACCTACCATTTGAACAGAATCCTAACCTGTTTCCTGGCTTTAAGAAAAGTTCCTTAGCATTTCTATGATTTAAATTAAAACTGGTTTTCTTAATAGTACCATATGAACTTACCACTGAAAGTAGTTAGATTATTTAAGAAATTGTGTGATCAATACAATGTGGGTGGGAAAGGAATAGAAGACAGTTGTAGACACCAGAGACAGTGGGAGAAGAGGGTGAGAAAGGACAGCAAGTTACAAAAAAAAAAAAGAAAAGTTTCAGAAAAAAGAAAAATCCATTCGATGACTGCAGTAAGATATATAGTCCCAGCTAGGTGCTACTTTATAGGATGCCTAAAGTTAGAATTGTGTTCATGGAAATGTATATATCAGCTGTGTTTGTTATGAAAATATTTAGATTAATTAAGATCTTTAGTAATTCAATAAAAAACGGGGGGAAAACAGTATAGAAAGTAAACATAGATATCAGAGACAGTGTGGGAAGAGAGTGGGAGATAGCAGAGGGTAAGAGATAGGGAATCAAGGATGAGGGGGAAAAAAGCAAAACATATAGGAAACTAGAAATGGAAAATTATTTGTTGACAATAACATGTATGTTGATGTGCTTGATTGAGACAATATACAGTGTACTCTGGATGGAAAATCTCATTTTGTATGCTGTAATGATGTACAGTGAATGAACGTAAACAAATAAATTTAAATAAGACATTAAAAAAACAAGAATTCAAGATTTCAAATGTCTAACAGGCTGCCATGTAGGAGAGAAATGTGTCCTTGCGGAAAGTAGTGCAGAAATCAAAAAAGACGTATTTCTGCTTAACACCGAAAGGGACTCTGAGATCCTTAATGAATAAGCAAGAAAGTTCCTTATTGAATTCAGAATCGGCACCCCTCTTGTACATTCACCACAGCCTTAACCTTCTTTTTGCTTCTCATAACATTCACACTTAACCATAAGTTTCTTCCAGATACAACCTCTGTATTCTGCAGCTATTTAGTTAGTCCTACAGGTTCTGGATAGTCAATAACTATGTGTTAACAAAAATATAAACTAAAAGTGCTATTCAACTATAGACCACATGTGCTATAGCTAGGACAAGGGCCACTCCTGCTACTCGGATCTCCCTTGGAACCCCAGGTGGGAATTACATTGATTTAATTATGTTCATCTCTGTGTTACTGCAGTTGCTACAGTATAGAAGTTATTTGTCTCTCAAGAGATTTTTTTCCTCCATGTTAACTACATATTTTATTTAAGGAAGTTTTGAAAAAGAGGGATAGTTATTTCAAGATTCTTCACCATAGACTGCGGTCACTTCAGATGACATTTCTTAAGTGTAGTTATCCAAATGTGTATTTCATTCTTGGCAATAAAAGAGCCTTAGCCAATGCCTGGTGACCTATAAATCAGAGCTAGGAGATTTCTTTATGCAAATCAAATTTGCATCACAGTCATCAATAAAAAAGAAAATGGCTATGAAGATTAAATTTGCAGCAGTACGAAGAATTCCTACATCTATTTGTAGGCTGTGTCAGTGTAGCTAACTATTTTTTGAGATAGTGTTCTTTGAAAGAACTAATGGAGAGTAAGCTTTTTGAATTATTAAATGAGGGTTTAAGTAGGATTGGAAATGTAAAATAGCCTGATTAACCTTACCAGACTTAAAAAGAAGAAAAAAAAGTCCACGTAATAAAGTAAAAGACATTGGTAGCCATTTATGGCGGTATTGAAAACTCTTGAGAACTCACCACAACACAGTAGAGTTTACAACTCTGTTTCCCATTCCGTACCTTAAATAAGAAAGATTTCAACTTTTACTTCTATAATCACAGTGGCTGTTTCCCAATGAAAAGTAAACAAAATATAAATAAAAAGAAAATTACGTCACTTGACATTAACAAGAATGTACTACTACAAAATAAAATAACTCTTTAGCTCCTCAGCTAATAGATCATAACTTGTTGACCTAGTCAAGAAAGCAAATCCAGGCCACATACCCGTTTCCTTAGATTGCAGGTGAGCGTGAGATTCCTGGAGAAGGAGTTTGCAAATGCTGTGTAAAAGTCCAGGACTTTGAGCAAGGCTTCCCGCTTGATGATGTGTAAGTCACAGTACGTCAGCGCCCGGACATTGGCACACGCGTGAGCAAGGGTGGTTTCCTTCCAGAAGATGTCCCCAAATACATCGCCTTTCCCTGAAAAGGTAAAAGCCACATCATCATGGAGATACTGTGGGGGCGCCTAACTTTCTCTCTCTGTCTCTGTCTCTCTCTCTCTCTTTTTCTCTCCTTGTCTTTTTTTTCTCTCTCATGGAAGAAATAAACTTTTAAAAGTATCAATATTTTCACAAATTTATGTCCCTACACTTTCTAATATTTAAAACTGCATTCATAAAATAAATATACAGATCTGAAGAAAGGTAAATTAACATTCATTGATAACTGTATCATCAATAGGTAAAAGATACTTAAAATATAAATCTAATTTCCCCTTACCAATATAGATTTTTTTTTTTTTTAATTTGCCATTGGGCACATACATTTGCAAGACAGACAAGAGAAAGAGGAAAAGCGAGAAAGTGCCTCCCATGGTAGATAATCACAATACAATCCTTTCTCCTCCATTTCTCCTTCCTTTCATACATGTTTGTATGCCTGGAATGTTTCTCAAGCCACTGGGTCTGGGACCAGTGGGCCATGTGGGATCCAACCTCCTTAACCACCAGTTCACAGGCTGACCCCCCCCCCCAGTGTGGTCATTTTTAATTGAAGAGGCATTCAAGTAATTTATATAGTTTATTTTACTTATTGATTAAATTAAAATTTAGTCTATTTATATCTCATTTTTTAAATTAAATTATTTATCACTTTAGCATGATGTAGAAACAAAATCTGTAATGTAGGAATAAAAGCAATAAACTAGAATATAAACTCATGAAAAACTTTATTCCTTCCTCATCTTCCTGAAAAAAAGTTTAAAGAAACAGCAAAAGCAAAATTAACAAATGTGCAAAATACTGCCACCAACATAAGCATTCACTTTGCATAATAAACCAGCCCATGACCTGGTGGTTAAGGTGACTTGATCCCACATGGCTGACCTGGCTGTTTAAGTCCCAGATTTGGCACCTTGATAAACTCCTTGGGTGCTTGTGCATGCTCAAAGTCCTGAAAGGAAGGAAAGATGGAATTGTGGTGTTACCATGACCCATAGGGGGGTGCTTTCTCATTCTCTCTCATTCTCTATCTCTCTCTCTGTCCCTCCCTCCCTCTCTCCTTTCCTCCAGTGAGTGCATATGCCCTCTGGCAAATTAAAGAAAGAAAAAAGCAGTATGAATTGCTTTATGACTTAGGATTTCCATTAGGATATAGAATAGCTATTAATTTAAAGTATATAAATTAGATATTAATTTGATCAAACCCTTCAAAATATATTTATCTAACTTTTTATATCACCTAATATGTACTTGATTTACAGAAAACTCCTATGGCACTTCTGGGAAAATAGTCATCTTAATTGGCGATAACAGGAAGTGCCCTGTGACCTGAGCTAAGCGGAAGTTGGGCCTCTTTTTTGTGGCGACTCAGAGGAGGTCAGCTGCTTCAGGATGAAGCTGAACATCTCCTTCCTTGCCACTGGCTGCCAGAAACTCATTGAAGTGGACGATGAACGCAATGAACACAAACTACTTTTTATGAAAAGTGTATGGGCACAGAAATTGCTGCTGCCGCTCTGGGTGAAAAATGGAAGGGTTATGTAGTCCGAATCAGGGGTGGAAATGACAAGCAAGGTTCCCCATTAGCAGGGTGTCTTGATCCACGTCCGTGTCCACCTGCTACTAAGGAACATTCCTGGTACAGACCAAGGAGAACTGGAGGGAGAAAGAAAATCTGTCCGGGGTTGCCTTGTGGATGGCAATCTGAGTGTTCTCAACTTGGTTGGTGTAAAAAAATGAGAGAAGGATATTCCAGGACTGACTGATACCATGGTGCCTCATTGCCTGGGGCCTAAGAGAGCTAGCAGAATCCGAAAACTTTTCAATCTCTCTAAAGGAGACAATGTCCACTGATATGTTGTATTGAAGTCCATAAGCAAAGAAGGTAAGAAACATAGAACCAAAGCACCTAAGATTCAGCGACTTGTGACTCCACATGTCCTGCAGCACAAACGCCAGGCCTACCATTCTCAAGAAACAACGTCCTAAGAAAAATAATCCAGTAATCCCACTTCTGAGAATAAAAATATGTTAAACTTTGGGCCAAGAGAATGAAAGAGGCTAAAGAAAAATGCCAAGAACAGATCTCCAAGAGACGCAGGCTATCCTGTCTGAGGGCTTCTACTTCTAAGTCTGAATTCAGTCAAAAATAATATTTTTATAAGAGAAACAAATAAGATCAGATCTCAAGAAAGAAAATTAAGTAATTAAGTTACTAGCTTCAGGAAACCTGGATAATGTCCTTTTTCAAGCATATTATGCCCATTTGCACTAACTAATCTTCAGAAATCAAGTGTTATAAAGAGATGGACTTAGGCTTAGAATATTCAACAGAGACATGCCCTTCTCTTCATTGCAAAGATGTTGCACACTTTCGGAGCTGGGGACTACTCATCTTCAACTTCATGACTATAGAGCATTTGATGCTGGTTTTTAGGTCAGCTCCTGCTGGGTACAAGTAGTCTCGGCTATAAACATTTTTGAGCTTTGAAAGAACTAACTTCCCCCCAAAGCTCTAAAATTAGTAGAAAAGCTCACACTCAACATGAAAGTTGTTGTTTGGTCTATTTATATCTTCTCAGTTCTTTGCATCAAGTCTTATGAAGTATTTCACTGCTAAACCACAGGAAACAGGACTGGAAAATGGAAGTTAATGTTAAAGATTCATATAATAGGAAATTAGAACATTTAAAAACACGACAGAGACAGAGTTACAACGTAATTAAAGGAGTGGTACAGACTATGGTTTTGATTGAGGATTATGGTTCCCTCAGGTGCAGGTTTTACAGCCATTTTTTTTTCTTTTAATGTAAGATGTATTACTTAGTGAGTTAATAACTGGGTGAAATAAATGCTTAAAAATCATCACAAGAGTATAAAAATCATCATAGTTATTCATCATTGAGAATAGCTAATTAATACATTCAACAAATCTTTAACAAAATATAACCTGAACTTTTCTTAGTGTCCTGTGAGTTGTTGTAGAAGTATGATAACAATTTTGTTTGATAATTCGTTTATACAATGGATAGTAATGTATGTTTTTCTTTTCTTTTTATAAAAATGTTTGCTACAGGGCACAAGTGCTTGCCAGAGGCACAGAGAGAGTGAGAGAGAGGGAAACTAAGAAAGCACTCCCCAGGGGGTATGGCCACACTTCAATCCCTTCTCTATATTCTCCTCTCAGGATTTTGAACACACACACACATGCACCCAGCATGTTTTCCAAGCTGCTGTGTCCAGGACTCAAACTACACAGTTGGCTGTGCAATTTAATCACCACGCCACCAGCTGGTCTTTTGTATTCGTTTTTTAAAAGGAAATCTGATTGTTTTTATTTGTGTCTTACAACATAGTATTGGTATCCTAACCCTAACTTTAACCTTATGATCTAGTAATCCCACATCTGACTATTTATCTAAAATAAGTAAAATCAGAATTTCAAAAAGATATCTGTACTCCCATATTCATTGCAGACTTACTTAAAATAGCTAAATATGGAAACAACTCAAGTGTCTACTGACAGATGAATGGATAAAACGGTTTATGCTTATAATGCAATATTGTTTAGCTGTTAAATGTAGGAAATTCTGCCATTTGCAACAACATGGGTGAAACTGGAAGTCTTTATACTCAGTGAAATAAGGCCAGCTGCAGAAGCACAAATACTGAATGAGTCCCCTACATGAAATGTCTACAATAAATTCATAGATAGCAGAGAATTCAATAGTGGGTGCCAGGGCTTTGGGGCTGGGAGCCATTATTGAACAGAAAGCTTCAGTAATGCTAGATGAATACGTTCCAGGTATCTGTTGTACAACATAGCATCTACAGTTAGCAATATGTCACTACGTACTTGAAAACTTGTTAAGGGAATGGGTCTCATACCAAGTGTTCCTACCACACACACATGCAAACACACACATAAACACAGGATACAAGAAAACTTTGGGAGGTGTGAGATATGTTTATTATCTTATACTGGTGATGGTATTATGAGTACTCACATAGAGTTCCTTTGAGGATATGTATAAAATGAGGAAGTTTGTTTTTTGTTGTTTTTGTTTTTTGCCTTTTTTTTTTTAATAAAAGACTGTATTAGCTAAAGAACACACTAACCAACTTGAAGGGGCTCTCACTGGCCAAAAATATAACAATTTGCACTTAAATAAGGATAAAAACTTCAATGCATTGAAATGCTTCAAGTTTGTTTAAATATACTATCAGATAGTGTTGTTTGTTAGGCACTATCTGAACAACCTAACAGAATAAAAGATCAATTAATTATCTTCAAAACTGGTAATAGAAAAGTACCAAGCATTTATCTTACTTTTGCTATGTGAAGTGCATACTGAGTAACCAAATAATAGGAAGCACCTCGTTATAAAATATTCTGATTAGTAAATAAACACAATTGTAAAATCACAGTATCTTCATTTGCAACTCTCAGTTAAGTATGGGATGCTGTTAATGTCACCAAAAGGAATTAAATTATATATCATATGCCTCCTGTTGAAAGAACACAGCCAGAGCTATAATCTTGCCAAAGGCTGTCTATTGATGATAATGTATATGATAATATCTTCAACTGGACTGTTGCTCAGTGTATTCATGCTGGAGAAATTCATTTTGCAAGCAGTGGTGATGTACAGTGATTAAATGTATAAAATAAATTTTAAAAAAAGTTCAAACCTGAGTGCATGAAGCTTCTACATGTAGCTACTTATTTGCAGGAAAAACAGGGGATAGAGGAATATGTCAAAGGCATTGAGGGTCACCAGCAAGCTCCAAGCTACACACTCTGTAGGACAAATGGCCCAAGTTCTTCAGCAGATTACTGTAAATAAAACAACAGGCTAGAGGGGAAACTTGTAGACTTAAAAATATGTAAAGGAAGTATCAAAAAAAATTAGGCAAACTAATCAATGTTTAAAGATGAAGCACATGGCAGGACCAGCAGATAGCATAGTGGCTACGTCG